TGTGCTTGAAACTGAGTTTTACATATGATCAATTTGAAGAAGCAATATCATTGGGCGATTTATTCTGTTTTACGAATCTCGACGCTCATTGGTTCTTGCGACGTGCAGACTGTAGGCAGAGCGCTCTAGTGGAGAAGTTCGCTACCAAGGTGCATCGCAAGGACAGAAAATATAAAATGAATGACTTTCTGATAAGTGAAAATATATTAGAAAATTAAGGACGAAACAAAGTGCAGACAAAAATTATTGTTAATGACAATAATTGATATGGTGAATTGATTGAGAAACTTTAGAGAAAATATTAAATATCTTAACTAATTCCTGATTTCAAATAACTATTTGAAAGGAAATATGACGTGATTCATGTAGCAGTGGGAGGACATGAACATGAAACTAACATGAAATATTCACGTCTGAGATGGCACAGGGGAATGAAATAAAATATTATTTATTCACCAAAACTAGTAATGGAGAATACAAATACTGCTCTAATTATTTAGAGAAGTGACACTTTTAAGAGTTTAGTTGTACAATTTTAACAGTTACAGTAGCTAGGCTAATAAAAGCACAATATATTATTAATGATATGATTTTCGTCCGACTCGACAGGACCAGCGGATGGGGGGTAAACTTGCCTAAAAATGTTCAAATGGACTGTATAGTGAAAGAGCAATATTAAAAACTTGTCACTAATTATTTAACAGATAATACTGTAATGAGATTGATGAGGTACCTTCCTTTTAACTGAAGTGTTGAGAAGACAAAGCCGGTAGACGTACACGAGTTTCTTCTGCTGGCCAGCTATTGCGTATTGCTCGTACACAGACCCGGACCGGCAGTAGTAGTGTTTCACTTCACAAATGTTCAATAGTTCACTTTTAATATGTGTCACTAATAATAATTAAATATACTTTGGGGTTAAGAGATGAGAGCAGCAATTGGGAGTTAATTGTGCCGGGGACATGTTAGTAGTTGCATGAATGCAAGAGAACTGGGGCGAGATTGGGGTTTGCAGACATCACGTGACAGGACAAAGGTTATTGTATGATATGAAACGTCTGGAAATATCTAGGTAGCGCTTGAATACGGAACAGGTAGTTATTTCATTCTATAAGCGTTTAACAAGTTATGAGGAAAAATTCAAAAACAATGATATTAAAAACCACGTTTTTTAATATAGTGAGATTAAGTTGACAGCAAAAGTGTAAATACAAAAAAGATAGGCTTAAAAATTATCTTTCAAACAAAAAAAGAATCATCCCGATCCGTTAAACGGTATGCGAACTATACTCATTTAAAAATTGCCCTAGCCGCCATTTTGATGACGTCATAGCTGGAAAACGAAACAGGCGCGGACTTGACACCCGAGTGGAAAACACTTCCTAAGACACCTATATTGAAATGCAAAAGCAAAATTCCCTATACACGACATGCACACAGAACCCTAGTCATGTCCAAGACTAATATTTCCCGGACCGTACACCACTTTCAGTGTTTTTTTACGGTTTATTCAATCTCTTTTCTTTAATTTTAGGTCTAATCACATATTTTTTGGTATCATTGGAAAGGGTATAGAATTATCTACAACTTTTACAACGGGTGGTATTTGATTTTATCAGCGGTTAAGAAGTTATAAGCAAAACAATAAGTATAATAACAATAAAAACAACGTTTTTCAATATTGTGCGGTGAATATTTAAGTTTACAACAAATGTGTAAATACAAAAAAGATAATTTGTAAAAATATCTTTCAAACAAAAAAAGAATCATCCCGATCCGTTAAACGGTTTGCGAAATATACGAATTTAAAAATTGCCGAGCCGCCATCTTGATGACGTCATAGCTCGAAAACGTACCAGGTATGAACTTGACACCCGAGTGGAAAACACTTCCTAAGACACCTATATTGAAATGCAAAAGCAAAAATCTCTATACACGACATGCACACAGAACCCTAGTCAGGTCCTGGACTATACTGTAAATGGTTAAAAATAGGGCCTAGGTTCTTGTACCTTCATACCTAGTTGTCCAATAGCCTAAGCCCAAGTCATGAGATTAGGCTATGTTAAGTTAATGACAACAAGTTTTATTTCAGGCATACCTTTTTAAAGTTTATGTTCTAAAACATATAGGCCTACTTAGGGGTAAGTTGTAGGCCTAAATCCCTACTTAGTAAAAGAAAACCATGTGCGTTGTTATGTGGTTACAATGATTATCACTACCCAATTGGTTGAATGTGTTTTACAAAATTTGTTATTGGTACCTAGTGCTTTATAATTTTGACTAATAAAACTTGGTTCAGGTTTGTACCTTTACTTATCATCTAAGTTCAGTTACCTATTGAATTAAACTAGGCCTAAATTAGATAAACAAAAGATACATTTACAATCTAACTTACCCTTAACTTATTCTGAAAAAAATATACCAACAGTTTTAGTAATTAAGTTATTGAGAGTTGACTTGACATTGATTTTAAGTTTTCATTATATGAGGGTTAGTATTTGGTTAAAACATTTTCACTATTCGAGGGAAAGTATTCGATTCTAAAACATTTGAATTCAATTCAAAATTCTCTCTATTCGATTCAAAAAGAAAAAGTAGTATTCGCATACCCCTACTTTATACCAAGGGAAAGGTAGGATTTTTACATGACCGCAAAAAACAATAATGGCTACACGACCATAGGAAATGTTTAGAATTGTTCTGCGATCACAGAAGAAGATGATGTCCTCACGGCTGCATGATCTTATCTTATCATCTTTATCTTACCATGTAACCGGGCAGGCCTAGACTATGAAGCACTTTATCCGAAAAAGTTGATTGACATTTTGCCGCAGTTGTGGAAGGAAGACAAAGTTATGTCTGACGGAAGATGATAATAATGACGACACTGCCGCAGAAGATGATCAACATTTTGTCAGGATCGCAGAAGACGATGTCTACACAACCGTGGGAGACGATAGCGATGTCTACACAAGCACGGTAAATTATCACAATTTTCCTACAATCGCACAAGACGATGATAATGTCTGCATGACTACAAGAGATGTTAGGATTTTGCAAAGATCACGGAAGAGGATGATTCTGTTACTGCTGGGGGATATACAGGATTTTAATGTGACCGCAGGAGAAAATGACGATGTCTACACAGCCGTGGGAGACGATGATGATGTCTTCACGGCTGCTGGATGATCCATGATTTTGCCACGGTCGCAGAAGACAATGATGACGTTTGCATGACTGTGTAAAAGGTTTAAAAATTCTGCCCTAATCACATGAGATGCCCCAATCTACACGAATGCGGGACATGACTAGAATTAGGCCACCATGGCGGAATACGATGATAATGTCCACATGACTGTGGGAGATATTCAATATTTTACTGTGATTGTGGAAGACGTTCATAGCGTTTCCGTGACCGCGGAACATGATTATGGTGTTTCCGTTCCCGCTGAGCAATAATAAGAATTTTGTGCCGACGATGGAGGACAGAGATGTTGCTCCATGACTGAGGAAGATATTCAGGATTTTGTAGTGATCGCGGAAGACGATGATGTCTTCAAGACCATGGTAGATGATCACGAAATTGCCTCTAGTTTGGCTTGATCATCAATCTTAGACTGGCACACCTCTAGTTTTTTTTCTCGTGTTTTTTAATTTCTTCATTTACCTTAAATATGGTTTTTTATTTCATGAGTTAAGAAGGGTTCAGCTTTTAACTTAAGTTGGCTAGTTGGAATTTCAGTGCTGCATTAATTTTTTCCTACTTCATGGTGTCTACTAAACCTGGTTTGAAAAATTCAAGGAGTTTTCCAGGAGAATTCAAGACAAATTCCTAAATTTTAAGAACTACTATCGGAACCCGTTCAACTAATCGCAACCCGCTAATAATAATTTACTATTACTATTAATGATTATTTTAATTTAAAACAAAACTTTCCAAAGAAAAATATTTTATACAACAAAATAAAACAGTATAACTAGTAGGTAAGGCGAAACCAGCTATCATCTCCTGCGATCGTGGGAATGCCGGTGACCATATCTTGCAGTTTCGTCAACACAGGCAACCGATCGCGGCAAAACAGGTTCGCATATTTTATGATTTCAGCGACACCGATAATCGTCTCCCGCGATCGCGGCAATACCCGTAAGCATATCCTACGGTTTCGGCAACACCGATAATTGTCTCCCGCGATCGCGGCAATACCCGTAAGCATATCCTACGGTTTCGGCAACACCGATAATCGTCTCCCGCGATCGCGGCAATACCCGTGACCATATCTCGCGGTTTCCGCGACACCGATAATCGTCTCCCGCGATCGCGGCAAAACCCGTAAGAATATCTTGCGGTTTCGGCGACACCGATAATCGTCTCCCACGATCGCGGCAATACCCGTGACCATATCTTGCGGTTTCGGCGACACCGAAAATCGTCTCCCACGATCGCGGCAATACCCGTGAGAATATCTTGCGGTTTCGGCGACACCAATGATCGTCTCCCGCGATCGCGGCAATACCCGTGAGCATATCCAGCGGTTTCGGCAACACCGATAATCGTCTCCCACGATCGCGGCAATACCAGTGAGAATATCTCGCGGTTTCGGCAACACCGATAATCGTCTTCCGCGATTGCGGCAATACCCGTGACCATATCTTGCGGTTTCGGCGACACCGAAAATCGTCTCCCACGATCGCGGCAATACCCGTGAGAATATCTTGCGGTTTCGGCGACACCGATGATCGTCTCCCGCGATCGCGGCAATACCCGTGAGCATATCCAGCGGTTTCGGCTACCATGACAATAACTTTTAGTTGCGATGTAATAAAACCAATAAGCATAGCGATTAGAAAGGATGGTTTTCATTTTTTTTTAGAGAAAAGGGTCTGGTCAGACTTTTGAAATTAGATCACAAATAAAATTGATTTCGTGTACATCCCTCTTGCAAATATTGTATTTCTGAATTTGTGTTTTAACATGAAGTTGTTGTGACACAACATACCGTTCGACCAAACTTGGCTGGTTGTCCTGTGCCGACCTTAATTTCTTTCACTACAACTCCCTGGTCCAGGACCTGTTTGTGCTTGGGAGATATGCTGTTAGGTGTCTTGTCTCCTCCAGGAGTCTTCTTGTTCGATTTTTGATCTTTTGGAGTGACACCCTGGAAAAAACAGTTCATAGAATGTAATTGGTTATTGATGGTTCATGGATCAGCTGGCATGGCACCTGGAGCATCTGCTTTTCTAGGAAGACCTTACAGGACAGTTTACACCCTGGTGACTTAAGTACAAGAACTTCTCAAAGCCAGAGAGGAATGAGTATAATGCAGTATTTTAAAAGCTTAGCATTCTCTCCAATGGGTTTTATGAGAAAAAATATATTTTTTATAGATTTATTTACCAGAAATATTGTCAAGTTCTTTCATTAAATTAAAGAAAAAAGTCATTATAGTAATAGACAACCAAAAATCCCTCAAAGTGTTCCTCCACCTTGAGGAATTGAATGTCTCAAGACGTGTTTATGAAAAACCTTGGAGCTGCTATCTCCGCCAAATACAACAGACAGACGCAGGACACCATCAGCTCAGTGCCAGCATCACAGGATAGTACTGAAGCATCAGCGCTTGAAGATTCAGGTAATGTGAGATTAAAAGCTGAGAAAAGTGATAGTGAGTGTGCATGTTGTAATTCTAGTCCCACACCATCTGGCACTGATAATTTGGTTAGGCCTACATAAAAGAACGAGAATTGTAGAAACTACAGTAGAGTCAAAAATCCGAACCAATTGGAACCATAGGTAGTTCAGATTAACAATTTGTTCGGATTTTCAAACATAGCCTGGAAATTCCTAATAGACACATAATTAGGCCTACAGTATTAAAAATTCAGTTCTAGGATACAGTTGAATGAAATAAAAATAATGATTCTTGTAATCAGGTATTTTCGTTATATAACTGTAATTCGTTTCTTGAAGAAAATATGTAGAGCTTATACATTGGAAACGAACAAAACACAGCCTGGCTCGGCGCGTTCACTCATTTCCCTACCAGGCGCCGACTGTTGCCCACGTAATTGTAAAACATCTGTTGTCTCTGTGCTAATTCAATAATTTAAATCCCTCAGGAGCGGTTCGGATTTTTGACGTTTTGATTTTTGACGTTCAGATTTTTGACTCTTTAGACTTAACTGTACGGTACATAGATTTAGTTAAGTGCCAAAATTAAAAATCTATATAAAGCCAAGGAATAATCTATATTCCACCAAAACTATTCAGTGTTTGTCTAGCTGAGTTGTTTATATTTTAAATAGGTACTTTAGAGAAAGTTAAGCCAGTTATATAAATGTTAACGGAGCATAAACAGGGTGTCCAAAAATAAATAAAAATCAAGACCAAAAATTCCTGTATATTTACCACGTTTTTCTCGCCTGTTTTATCAAAAGTCTAAACTAGGTTAAAGTGTCAAGAAAACACATATTTTTATGAATATTGCATAGTATAATTTTATAGATTATGTAAACCAATTTATTATGTACAAAAAAGGCCTTTACTTAACAAACATTTTCAGAAGTAAAGAATTGTAGTATTAGCCTATTATATTGCTTTCAGTCTTCCGATAAAAAAAGGCGATAGTTGAGTAGCCTGTATAGGTCATGAGCCGTCACTCAAGTCACGGTCCACACCAGCGAGCAAAGACAGAAAACATAATTTCGTGCTTGCTGGTCCACACAATTGAAAGAGGACTAAAAGATGTTATTTATTACTTAAATGGGGGGAACGAAAAGCTAAACAAAACGTCACGATGTTCTTATTGATAAGTTTAAGACCGCCTGATCAATCTCCTTAATCAATCAAGTAAACTACAGGGTTCCGACTGAAACTAAATCGTAAAAATCACGGCTCTTTCACAGTTTGGGGTCTGAAATTAAGAAATTTACAGTCTATAAATGAGAATGAGAAAACATTTTGCATGCCGCACAGTTTAATAGAGTACTAGTGGCTTGTATGGACATAAGTCCCTAAAAAGCTCAATAATGTAAGACAACTTATTCTAATATTTAAACACACTAAGAAATATATTATTTATGTGTCAGAATAGATATACCTGTGCACCATATCTTTTGTGTAAAAAACCGTTTGTTGTTTGCTTTTGTTAATGTTATTTATTTACTGCATTGCATTTTTTAACTGGGTTTACTAATGAATCTGTGTAATACGTCATGGGTATTTACATGTTTTTAGTTATTCATAATTTAAATTTATAAAAAATTAATACTATGCTAAAACCATGAGGTTAACAATCATTTCTGAAGACATCTTTATTGTGTAAAATTTACGCTCTTTATTTCATGTCTCTTTACTAAAATCTCTAAAACTAACAGTTTTCAAGTATTTCGAGAAAACCCAGTTTTGACCGCCATTTTTCCAATATGGCGGCGTTAGCCCAAAGATGCCAAAGTGGCACCCAACATATTCGTAATCAGCGCAAAAAGCTTTGTCAGAATCAGTCAAAAAACCTTTGTCCAACCAAATTTCCAGGTCATCGTAATTTATAATGGGTCCGTGACCAAACTATACATAACCAAAACATCACTACTTACATTAGTAACTGGTGTTTTCTTTGGAGTAGCGACATTCTGCTTGCTTGGTGTTTTATTTTTATCTTCTTTTTGTTTCTTCTTATGACTAACGTTGAGGTTTTCTCGTTCCTCTTCTGACTCGTCTTCTTCATCAGTTTCATCATCATCCTCCTCACCTTCATCGTCGTCTTCTTCATCCTCCATTTTTTCATCGTCATCTAGTCCTTAAACAGATTTTTTTTACACTTTATAAATGCTGTTGGATTACCCTAAGGTAACTGACTTAAATTATACGAGAAAACCCACAAAATACTTTACCTTTACACATCAAAAACAGGATTATTTTCAGTCTTTAAAATAATAAAGAGGGTGGTTTCTTTGGAATTGCAGTACAGTACTTCACTTTGTAACATAAAAATCAAATCAAATCATATCATGTTTATTGGCACATAACGGTAGAGTTTGCAGTTAAATAATGTACAGGTGCTTTGTCATTCTTCTTAAAACATATTTTATAATGGTTCTTTCTTAAAACTAAATAAGTGATAAAAGTAAAGTATTTAGTAATAATAGCCAACAAATGTTATAACATTTAAGAAAAATATTGCATTGCCTAACTGAAAAGTTTAATTAAATAAATACAGTCTAACCTTGATATAACGAACCTCGATATAACGAATTCCTTGATATAACGAATTTTTTTGAATCCCCTAGAACTCTCCATAAGACACAATGTATTTTTTACCTCTACATAACGAACAAACCATATCAACGACCTTGATTTAACGAATTTTTCATGATCCCGGCTAAAATAAGACACCTCAATATAACGAATTTGTCATTGTCAGAACCTCTACATAGCGAATTTAACCTCTACTTAACGAATTGTCTGCGTCTCTCCCTCGATACAACGAACCCCCCACCCCCATTATTGTTTTTGAAAAATCAGTTTCTTCATCAAATGAAATGGAAATGTGATGTCATCGCTCGCGCTAACATTCGTTTGCTCCATTTTAACACATCGCTGTCTGACGTCTGCTGTCGTCGTCGTCGCTGCATGCGCGCTATGTTACAACTGGAACTGAGAACTGATTTCATTCACTGAGGACTGATGACGACGTAATGTGTAGTAAGCTGGGGTTGGGTGATAAGTAAATATGGCGAATTGTACAATTTTTGGATTAAGAAAAAAAAAATAGAAGAACAAAGCAAAGAAAAAGAATAGAAACGTCGTTATCTTAACATTCCTTTTACGAGTGTTTTTATTATGATTAAGTTGGCTATGATTATACACTTTTATAACGACTTATCTAATAAGTTTTATTATTTTCAATACGATTTGTTTAAACTAAGGCAACACCAATTCCATAGTTGATGATTATTACAGAATTGACATTCCTCTGTTGTGATTTAAAGCAGTACTGTAGCACTGTAGCCTACCGGCCTATAACGAGCAGTAGCTTACAAAACTCTCTACTGTTTTGTTTTGTTCTTTACGTGGTTTATTGCTACAGTGTACACAGTAGTAAACAGTGTGAATACAGTGTTTGGCTAGGTTTTAGGTGGGTTGGAGAAAGCTGTGATTTTAAACTTACAGTTATAACATGTACCAAGGTCAATGACTAGAAATGTCATGATTGCGCAATATTAATGTACCCCTTTAGTACCCCAGATAATCGAGGTTCTACTTTACAATGTAAACACTGTACTGTAAAGTATTGTAGCCTATGCTACTTTAATTGTGTTTTAATGAGATCAAATCACGACATAAGTTATATTGACTGTGACTGATGCTGCTTCTGAACCTCGACTTAGCGAAATTCCTGCAAACCTAACCTCAATATAACGAACCTCGTTTTAACGAAATCCTTGATATAACGAATATTCAGTTCGGTCCCTTCAGATTTGTTATACCGAGGTTGGACTGTATAATGGCAAGTTTAAAACTACATAACAGGATTTATATTATGTAATAATAAGAAATATCTGTAAAATATAAAAAATGTATAAAACATTCATAGTAGTCAATAACAGTCTTAATTAAAATTGCATAATAAAAATATACATTCATAGGTGTTAAATAAAATTATCGGTCAAACTACATATGTTAATGGAGATTGAATGATGCGAATTTGAGGTTTCCAACTCAAACCGTAAGCGGATGAAAGATAAATTAAGATTTAAAAAAAAATAATGGTAGTTGTTATGATAAATAAAAAGTATATTACTTTATTTTTTAAATAAAGGTCATTTCCGAAATCCTCAAAAAATTTCATCGAAAGAGTTAAAATTTTTAACAAAGACAGAAATTCAATAGGTCTAAATATTAAGAGCCTTATTTCTAGTATGCAGAGTTCCGCTGAAGCACAGAAAACATAACCCAGAATGCCAACCGCATGGTTAAAAGCGTTAAGTACTTTGAGAGAGCTTTGCCTGTCAATTCGTAGGCAGCGCCACCAGCGTTGCTATGCCAGTTGGCATTCTGGGTTATAGTAGTATGTTTTCTGTGGCTGAAGGTATCAAATTTTATCAAAAATATCCTCATGAAACAAGCTTTAAAATTATGTATATTAACCTTTAATTACTGTCACATTAGGAACATTAATGTATAATTGTGAAAAAACATGGTCATGCTCAAAACAGCTAATTTGAAGGATGATTATAACAATAAACTTATAATTAAGTTTTCTTTGATATTTGCACAAACACTTTTTACCTTTTAAAAATGCCCCTCATAATATACTTAGTATTAAATTTATGAAAAATTGACAAAAGACAGTTGAAGATGCTCACCATCTGACAGATCTGAGAGCTCATCTCCATCCGAATCTGACTCTTTAGTATCATCATCCACTGAAATCATTTAATAATAAGTAATAGTGTATTAGCACCAGCACCAAATTAAATATTTAATTACATATTGATAAAACTAAGGCTCATTGTCTGCAGTTGATAACAAACTGTCTCAGTTCCGGCAGTCGTGGTTAGGCGTTCAACCCGCGTGCGGGATAAAAATAGTATTTTTATTTTTCTACCCTGAGGAAGCGGAAGATTTTTTTGAGTTCCAGAAACTTCGGACTTTTTATGCCATGGATGTTTCTGAGCTATATATATATATATATATATATATATATGTGTGTGTTTATGTGTGTTTTGGCGAGTCCTGGACATCACAGACAAAAATAAAAGTGAGTGAAGCCCACAATAATCTTCGTAAATAAACTGTCTCAGGTTCGTGTTTAACATGACTCAATGACGATACAAAGACACTAGACAATTCCTAATGTTTTATAAATTTATTATTTCCTTGTTGTATTTTAATTATAAACAATACTCGTATTATAATAAATTTTAATTTCTTTTATAACAATTTTATTTACTTTTGTTATGGTAATTATTTAGGCCTAATGTGTTTAAATTTAAATTTGAATTGGCTTGTTATGTTGGTCCTTTATATTGTTCCTTTATTTTTTTTACTTAGCTTGAAGATTACTTTTTTAGGACGTAAAGGCAGAGATTGATGTGCTATTAATAACTTGAGTTTGATTTTCTTTTTCATATAGCCTACTAACTTTTTATTTGTTTTACAATTAGTCCAATGGTTAATCTGTTAAAACAAAAACCATACATAACTGATTACCAAATATGTACAGCAAGACTTCTACATTAAAATATAAATGATGATAAGTTCTTATTAGCCTACAATAAGAATAATACAATACATAAAATATACATATGGGGTAGAATAAGGCAGAAGGTTTGCCCCATTTAAAAAAATTTTTTTTTAGAGGTTGGCGGCCTCTTTTAACCTTGCATTTGCCTGTCCACTTAGACTACAGATCTGTGCGTGGAACGTATCCAGCAAAGCAAAGGGTGAGCCGGTACAGTACAAAGGTGAACTGTACTGATAAAAGTTAGTGGCAGTGACCAGGATCCAAACCCACGACACTACTGCCTTGGGCCCGAAGTCCGCGACCCTACCGACTGAGCCACCGACTCACCATTTTACAACTAAAAATCGTAATATTAACATCTATTTCTTATTCGATCTTTTTGAACTTGGTATCGTTTGATAGGGAATTAAAAATGCTAAATAAAAGGGTTCTTGACATTTTTTCATAAAATTAGCCGTTTTTGAGTAATTAATTAATTAATTTGAGTAATTGAGTAATTCCAGGAGGTTGGAAATCCGGTTTATCTACTTCTTTAAATTGCTCCTGCTGATTTAACTTTTGTTAAATTTATATGGAAATGATTGTTGACCCATGATAAAATGTAAACAGATTAGACCCTAAAAAAACTGAAGATCTTAGTGTCCCTAAAGACTAAAGTTTAGACCCTAAAGTATCAAAGTTTTTCAAAAACGCTATTATTAGTGTTGTGTAGATACCAGAATTTATCAATTCCCAATACCGATTCTTGAAAAATTATTCTCAGCATTGTTTTATATTTGTCAACTGAGAACACTAAAAGTGAAAATGTATTCACTCAATGACATTTTGGGAAAACAGTCCAACTTCACGTACAGATACCATTATCTAAAAATTGTACAAAATTTGTGTATTGATTGGTTATGTTACACCAACTCCTGTGTTTGTTTATATCCTTTAGGTAGTGGAATGTTCGAGTAAAAAAGTGTAAAACCAAGTCAAAGGTAAATGAAAATATTAATAAAAGAAGATTGTATTATAACTAGAGCTGGGCCAGTCTGACATTTCAATCAAGCCAAACTCTATTTAATATCGTGATCATCTCCAGCAGTCATAGACATTTAATTTAATCATCATCGTCTTCCGAGATCACTGTAAAATCCGGAATACCCTCCTTAGTCACGGAAACATCATCATCGTCTCCTGCGATTACAAAAATTCTGATTATCCCCTGCGCGGTCACGTCATCAATGTCTTCCGCGATTGCAGGATAGTTCTGATCATCTCCTGAAGTTGTGTATACATCATCATCATCTCCCACGATCACAGCAAACAATCATCGTTATTCGCGATCGCGGTAAAATTATGATCATATCCAACAACTGTGTTGACAGCACATAGCCGCTATCTTCTCCCGCGGTCGTGTAGACATCATTATTGTCTTACGCGGTTACGATCAAATCCTGAATATTCCCCACGGTAATGGAAACATCATTTTCTTTGATTGTAGCAAAATCATGAACATCTCCTCTTGTAGACATTATCATTTTCTCCTGGGATTAGGGCGAAATTCTGATCATCTCCCGCAGCTGTGAAGACATTAACATAATTTCCCGTGGTCACAAAACGGAATCGTCATCATGTTAAACGCACAGTATCATGGGAATAGTGTATCTGCATCCACTAATCTTCAGTACTGCACGTTTAATATGGGTTTTATATGGGCAATTGGAGTTTTTGGTTAATTACTAGAAAACAATCAAAGATAGATGGTAGGTTTAAATTTAAAAGTTGTTTGTTTTTACAAGACCTTAAAAATGATACACAATTTTACATATGTTGCCATTTAAAAATTTTCATTTACAAGGCTGCCAACTTAAAAAAAAATATAAAATCATAGAAACAGTATTTAGTTTTTAAATGTTGACTGGTTGTATATCAAATTAAAGCTGAACCTACGAGGATTAAGAATTTTCAAACAGAACGAAAATAAGTTTAGTGGTTTTCAAGATACAGGGTATTCTGTAAGTATCAATATTTTCTATAAAAATGGCCGCCATTTTGAAACGGACAAAGATAAATGCGTTCTGTTTTCACTAAATTGTTTGTCTAGTCTAGAGCTTTAAAATGATGCATAATATGACATATGTTTACATTTGAAAACTCTGAGATTCGAACCCATGACCCCCAATTTCTTGAACACCCTGTATTTTAAAAATGGTAAAAATATTTTTAAGTTGTTCGTTGGGTATGAACATAGATAAAACATCCTCCCTTAGTAGATTTCTCATCCTTATGGAACAGCTGAAGACAATTTTATTGTTAGTTCTGTACGGTTTATGTTAGAGGTCGTGTTTTGTTTACAATTTGTTTCCCATTAATACCTACAGTCATTTAAAACCTCGTTTAACCAAATAATACGATCTAATCATAAACAATAAACTGTCCCCTAGTTATTTAACCAAACAGTAAAGCACAAATCAAGAAATTAACACTAAAATAATAGAAACAAAATTTCGTCGACACTAGCGCCCAGTGTGGCGTACATGAACTAGACATGAAAAACGAGCTTCAAAATTTACAATGGGATGAGAAGTCTACTTGTGTTGGTTAGTCTATGGTATGAATTAGTGGGGAAAAGTTTTGTTTCATCCCTGTATGTCAAGCCATTCGTCTGTAATCCGTTTAGGACAGCTTAGAAGATTCACCCTGTATAATTCCAAATGAATAGCACTTCATTATGTTATGATTTTAGGGATTGCCCGTTTTATCCGACCTTTTGAGTTATCCGACCTAGGTCCGGTCCCATTAGGGTCGGTTAAGAGGGGGTCTACTGTATCGACTTTTGACGATTCACTAATATAATTGTTGTGCCCTTAAATTTACTAAATTAAAACCCATTTTTGTAGAGCAACTTCTTTCATTGAATCTCACAACAAAACCAAAATTTAAAGTAAACATAAAACAATAATACATAAAACCAGATGCTTTACAAAACGTATCGTTTGTAGGTGAAATTTTAGTTAAATTTAATTAAACTGTCATAACCGAACCAAAATTGCTGATAATGAAAAGTCTAATAAAGGTTTAGGCCTACTAATCAAAAAAAAATTCTGTTCATAAAATAAAATTATAAATGCCTTAAATTCTAACAAAAGATGTACAATTAAGAAATATTCTTTAAGCTAAATCTTTGACAAAAAATTAACGGCTACGGTGGGATTCGAATCTGCTAACATCAGTTTATCACCCAGGTACGCTATCCACTACACCACCGAGGCTCATGTCTCTACTCCGTATCATTGCGGTAATGGTGTTCGCACAAGAGAAGAGACTGACGTCACGCCATCGGCACGGTGCGGTGGTGGGTGTTACAATCGTGAAGGTATAATCAAATGCAGACCTCAGGACATCTCCCTCTTTAAGTTCTTCTATGAATCTCTTGGTAGGTTTAACAATTTTGGTAGGTCTTGGTGAAGGTCTATGAGGGGTTAAAGAATGTGTCTGTATGTTGGGTCTTGGTGAAGGTTTGTGTGTGTTTGAAGAATGATGCTGTAGGTTGGGTCTTGGTGTGGATCTCTGTCTTTGTGTGGTTGGAGAATGTGTCTGTGTATGGGGATTTTCTCTTAAAAAATTTTCACTAGCAGGATTTTTTCATTCTCCAGATGAGAGCATTGGGAATAAGAATTTTGAATTCCTGATATGGCACAAAGTTGTGCCATAAATATACTAAATATAACCCATTTTTGTAGAACAACGTCTTTCATTGTATTCCACAACAAAAACCAAAACTTTGATAAATCTATATATATAAAATCCAATGTATGTTTGTTTGTATTATTGTCCTTTATGGACTCCGAAACCACTCGACAGATTGTAATGAAACTTTCAGGGATTATTAAGCATTATTCAAGGATGGATTGTGTGAAGTTTGGTGCAGATCCGTCAAAAGGGCTCCGCCCCAGTGGCTCTGAAGTTTGAGTACTCATATTTAAATGGAATTAAAGAATCTTAACAGCTGGTTCAACTAAATAATTTGATTCTGTGATGTTCAATAGCATTAAAAAGTTAATAGTGCATCACTATTTTTTTTTATTTTTTTATGACAACAGCTAATTTGCAACCAAAAGGTGAGTGAGCATAGCGAACGAACTTCAATCTGAAGGCGAGTTAGCGTAGCGAACGAGCTAACCTGAAGGCAAG